TGGTGGTGACACACATTTGGGTGAGTACGTGCCTGCTTCTCTATGTAAATACTGCCATAGACGGGTAATGGACTTCACGTAAAGAGTGTTCACTTATCGCTTACTAAAAAACACGCCCCAAGCAGCAATCTTGGGAGTCTTTCAGATTTACTTAATGTTGTACTAAATGATATTGGCATTGTTTGGGTCAGTACTTTGCTTCACAGCGCATGATTAACGAATTGCACATGAATATAATTTTTTTTTTCGTGGCTTACTCAACAGGTACATAGCGTTCAGACTAATTAAACTTTTGTTTGCATTGCACAATTCCCTTTCGTGCTAGTAAAAATACACTTTACGTTTATAAACATGCTGCGAATTACCTAAAATTCTTTCTTAAGTCCGTTCATAGAAACATTTGGAGCACGTGACTTGTTTTTTCTTCTGGCTCCCGAAAATGCGCCTGACTCCGATGTTCTCGCGAGTTCTTTTCCGCCTGCAAGTAACGTGAACAGTACGTCGCACTGCTGACGTTAACTGCGGGCGGACCCAAGAGCTTCTGATCCGGCGCAGGGTGGAGGAATCCACGTCGCGGGCGCGCTTCGACCGGATAGAGGTTGAATGCATGGACACGAATGACAATGTAACCTCTCGTTTTAGCACTCAGAATGAATTTTATTAAAATTTCACGTCAAGGCTGCACTATCAGGAAGTCGAGCGTCCATTTTCAATGTAGATTTTTACAAAACTCAAACTTTAAAAAGTTAGTAAAAAAATGTCTGAGTTAATTTTCTAACTAATGACCTAATTTTGCCTTCTTGTTATATCGAGCCCCATGGCCCTCAACCTAGTCCCAAGGCTAAGAAAACCCTAAAGCGCAAGACACATGCGCGCAAAATCTATCCGATCCGACGTCATATCCGGCAATACGACTGCCTGATCCGAAAAATTTGGTCGCTTCAGACGTCGGATCGGCGATCCGGTGTGCGTCCAACGCGCCAGATAGTTTCGCACGGCGGACGGATTGTCGGATGCGTCCAGCCAATGACAGCGCAGCTAGCGCAAACGTCATGATGACGTACTGGGTCTGGCGGGACGAACAAGAAAACGGGACGGGCGACGGGAAGCCGGACGCGTGGATCCCGCTGACCCATTCGAAAAAGATGGCCCCGGCAAAGAATGCGCGCGCTAGCGAGAACAAGCTCCTAACTTCGCTCGTGCGAGCTAAACTGTCAATCTGGAACCAAGGATCTATGAACGCGGACCTCCGCTTGAGTGCTTGGATCTCCTGGGCGGAGCCGAACGGGCCGTCGTGTCGTATGCAAGGTCGGAAGCGTGTGTTTCAAACTGTCGCGTACGGCGATTCGGAGCGGCGTTCGGGCTGTCGGATCGGACGTCGGATCGGACGATTCTGCCGTCCATGTGTCTAGCGCTTAACACAAATTTCTTTTTTTTTTTTCCTCCCCAAAAATATTTTATAGACTAGCAATGCAATTGCTGCCCACTGCCTTCGGTGAACCTCTTTGTTCCTAAAAGCCGTTAGCTAGCGTCTTTTCCGAAATTGCCATTTTAAAAGAAAGAAGACTTACTGCGCCGTGTGGCACTCTCTCTTCTTTTGGGGAGAAGGCATTTTCTACTAAAGAAGCTTGGGATTAAATATGGCAGGGGTATTGTGCCTCGTTCACATTTGTGGATCTACGGGCGAATTCTTGCGCCTTTTGACCCCCGGTGGTAAAGTCCGCACGCAACCGACGTAATATTTGACGGTGAAAGCCATCGGTCCGGAAATGATCGGTCCGGAATCGATACGCACATTTTTTCGCCCGGTAAAAGTTTCTGCGCGCCAGAAGCAAAACAGACGCAGGGAGGCAATGGCGTTTTCTGTTCCCACCCGATTCGCCAGAGTTAACGGAGTCGCCGGAGTTCTCAAGTTGCATAAATGGTGCCGTCCGCAGGTCTCGCTGTGTCTGCAGAGATACTATGCCTTTTACTACTAATGGCCTCTGAACGCAGACGGTGCCCACAAAAAAAAAGATATGTGAAATAAAATGGCCCGAAATTAAGTGTGAAGACTACCTATGTACACGTTGTTTCCGGTTTGTTTGATAAATAGGAAGTTTTCGTAGACTACTCTTCTCATGTCGGGACGCAGTCCCTAACGAAAACCCGGTTGCTGCGCATGCGCGCCTCTAGCCTTGTTTAAGAGATCCGGATCTTGTAGAGGATTACGGAGGTTGTTATGGGACGATGAAAACCATCTACAAAAACTCCCCATTGTTTAGTCACTGCCTTTTCGTATCGCCGAGATAATACGGGGCATCCTCTCGGCACGGCGGGCCATTGCTTATTTTTTATTGGGTGTCAATAAAGAAGTAAATACATAAGTGAGTTCACGAATTTCTTTTTTTGAACGACGCACGGCCCGAGGCTGTTTTCGCACACCTGTTGCTTTCGCTGTGGCGCCAAAGAGATGTTTTCCGCTCACTGGACCCGTGCGTCGGGGTTATCAGAGACTGTGCAACAAGCTGTAGGTCGGACTAATGACTGACGCATGAAAGCGGAAAATACACTCGTATTCGTGAAACATTAAAAAGGCGTGAACTCCATCATAATCGCTTAGACCTGAGCCGCGCTGGCACGGAATTTGGTCGGCGGTAAGAAAGTTTGGTGCAGGTGTGAACACGACATAATAAGTGGAGCTTCGTGATAACCTTTGCTCATCACTATGCTTCCCGTGCGCTACAAGCCTTTCTAGAATTTATCGATTTGTTGTTCTTCGAGAACATTCTGTAGAAACTACATGATATTCTTCTGTTGAGCCCCAGCACTGAATCGCACAAAGAACACTTGTGTCTAATCTTCCCTCGACTGGACGTTGGTGGACTCGTGAAATGAAGACCACGATGGAGGCACCGATATTTTCGGCTTATTTTACGGACAACCATGCTATTTGTGCCACCCGCCACTTGTCAGACTTTGTTCAGGATTTATATTATCATAAATGTGCAATGTTTCCTTTCTATTTATGATAACTAAAACATTGTAGTTGCTTAATTGAACGCTACTAACACTATGCAGTTTTTTAATGCATTTCGTATTGAAAACCCGAAATGTTCTGGCTTTCACACATGGAGACCGTCTAACGGTAACGAATGACAACTTTTATTGGCGTTGGCCATATGTCATTTCAGTTATAATAGAATGAGCAAATTACACTCTAAAAAAAAAGGGTATCACCTTACACCCTTTTGTCCCATATAATACACCCCAAAACTTCATTTCGACATACAGCGCCCTATAGTCGAACAGACGGCACCAAATTTTACCAGGGGCTTGATAACGGTGCCATATAACTTATTAAATTTATGTAGTACCTATCAAAGACCAAAGAAAGAAAACACTGAGCTTTTTCAGTACGGCCAAGAAAACTCCGATAATGTTTTTTGTAGTCAATAATACGTACATCAGCTATCATAATAAGTTGTACCACACGGCTATCAAGCCCCTCGTAAACTTTTGGGCCGCCTGTTCGATTATGGGGCGCTGTACGTCGAATTGAAGTTTTGGGGTGTATTATATGGGACAAGGGGTGTAATAACACACCTTTTTTTCTGAGAGTGTACTGTAAAAACAAAACGGTGCAAAATACATTACCGCCCGTTCATCTATATTGAAAATCGGCTTCACAGTAAAGGAAAACTACATGAAATATTGACATTGCAACCGGTTAAATCCGATATTATTTTTAGCAACAATTATTTAGTGAACAGTTCAAACTAAAAACTGTAAAGTCAAGGATCCTTTTTAAATTCTCTATTGCAATACAATGATATTTTGATGTTTTTACCGAATGTCTCAGAGCTGGGCAGAGAAACAAAGCAAAAAGTATCTCGGAATACAAATATGTATGTTAAGGCCGATACTCAAATTGTGAAATATCTGTCTTTTGTACAACGGGATGTTCCTAAGAGACTTCTAAAAACATGCAGGAAAGTATACAATTCTACATTTGTCTGCCTTAATCTTGCTAAAGACAAGGAATAACTGGCTTTGAATTCGTAGAAGATGCGTACGTGGGTCTTCCCGAAATGAGTCCTGTTTCGGCTCATTTCCTATTCGGACCCTAATAATTTACAGTTTTGGCGGTAACTTGAAACGCAAAGCTGCGTCGCAAAGAGTCGTTTGGAGTGCTTCTGAGTAACCCGTGGAGGGCGGGGGGGGGGGGGGGGGGGGAGGAGGGGAGAGAGAAATAAATTGGAGATGATAGCCGGACCTACGGAATCTACGGGAAATGAGAGACCAGGGAAACACGACTGACTCAACTGATCATTCATTGAACCACTGGTTTTGAATTTTGCGACTTCAGTGTGCTTAGAGCATGATTAAAGCATGCTATGTGGTGGTTTCTTATGATAAATTTTGGGACCTCTCGCACCAAAAACGTTTTTGACAACACATGTATTGAGATACCTAAGCCTGTCAAAGTACCACGATAAAATTGATATATCGTAAAAGCTTTTAACTGCCCTTTGATACAAACACATTTCTCCAATGTATCTTGATACAGATGTACAGAAACTTGAAAGTATATTCAAAATACCCCCGCGATACATTTGTATCGCGATACAGCCCAGCCCTAGTTTTTTTTTTTTTTTTTTTTTTTATGTAGAATTCTGAGTATAAAATTATATTTTCGCGTTTAAGTTACTGTTGGGAATTAATTTCCTCAAGGTTAGGGTCCAAAAGTGCAGTTATACTTAGACAAGTGTGTATATACTCATACCTGCGTTTCCTTCGTTTTTGTTCACTGCAGGATTCATGACGAGGTTTGGCTTCCTATAAATTTATCGTTGTAAAGGGTGCCACAAGTGCTTTCCTCAACTAGTGCTGAACAGAATCTGAAGGGTATACACGGTTTCTTTTTTCCGTTTCAGATGGTGATAGCATTTACTGACGTTTCGTGGGCTATATTGTTTTTGTGTGTGAATGTTTTTATATTTTTCTCTATCAACAGTAAAATGGACATATCCGAAAGCGTTGGCATGGGCCGTTGGCAGCTTCCTCCATTGCTGTTGACATTACTCCGAGGTGTTCCTTCAGCCATGCTTATGATGATCATAAACTTTGCTGCTCCGAGAACCCGAATATGGTGTAACAATGACCTGGAAGATCACGAGAATTTTACAAGGCGGAACAACCTCAGTGAAAATGAATCTGCGACGCTTGGAGAATGCTGGACGAAAACAAATGATTCCATTGTCGAGTGCAAGAGTTGGAGTTTTGACCACTCTGTCTTCTCTTGGACCATCACGGAAGAGGTTATCAATGCGTTTTAAGTCATTGTTCTCGGTTTATTTCCTATGTCCCAGCATTTAATGAAGAGAAAAAATGAAATATACCACTGCTTATATACCACTGATAATAAATCAGAGAGCAGATATCGGGATAATCAAATTGCTTACAGAAGAATGACGAAATGCTTACATATAATATTTCATAATATCCCGCATTTCCAAAATTTTCCAGTAGTACCAATGATTTCAACAAACCCTTTGATGTGCTGGTTCCGGACATAAAAAAGAAAGATTTTACTCACATTTCCAGGATACCCAAATACCCTAAATCAACAATGTTGGTATATAGTTCCTTCTCCGCATAGACAACATAGCGCTTAAAATTTGCGGGGTAGAATTGGTGAAACTTACCACCGCCTAGGTAAAATAAGAAAGAACTTTCTATGTATGCGCTTTGCTTTTGCTAATATAAGCCTTGCTGTGTTTTAGAGGCGGTCTGAGAAAAAGTGGCTATAAGCCGCACTTTTCAAGGTTCCGCTTCACGCACCGATAACTATAATGGGTACCACTACTCGAGCTTCTTGAGATTGTGAGTTAATTATTACCGATCGGGCAGCTAAGGGATATACAGTAGCCCACACATGTCGTGCGAGGAGACTCATGATTATGAGCTTAGTCGCCAGATTTATTAATTGTAACTGGCAATTCAAAATAAACTTTTGTGTAAAGATTTGTGCAGACTTTTAGATAAGCTTAGTTTCATTCATAGCTCTTCTGGTATTGCTCGTTGAAGAGCTATGTTACTCAGGGTTAAAATTCAATCGATGACAAAATAGACCTTTTGCAGGTTGTGAGCCAACCCTCCAAAGCATACACTAAGTGTGATTTAAGTTTGAAATATGCAGCTGTCAGTAAACGTGGGGAGTTTCTGTAAATAATATTAAAAAATGTTTTATGTAAATCAGCCTATAATATTTTGCCATCAGCTTGACTAAGGGCCGGTTGCACCAACGTCGCTTAACGCAAAGCGGAGCTTAGCCGGGAACTTAAGCTCAGTTTCGGTTTCGTTCGGTTGCACCAAACTCGCTTATCGCTAAACCTAGCACTAAACTACGCTTAACTTAAGCGCTCAACATTGGGCGCTTTGCTTCTGGTTGTTTCTTAATCCTGGATTAAAAACATGGCGGCTGGTTTGTCACGGTCGACGCGGTGGACGAAATTGGTTGTGCAAAGTGTTTTAGGCTACATCAGCGTGAAAGTTTCGACAAAATGACTTTCGATTGTGACAAGGATGCAAAATATTGTCGCGTGAAGTGTTTATCGACCCCTGTTTTCAAGTTGGCTCTCCACTTTCAGGGCGTGTTAGCCCTAACCGAGAAAAGTACGGAGCTGTGGGGCTCACGTCTGTATTCCCGTTGGTTCTTCTGTCAACGAGCTTATTCGTATGTACTTACTAATTTTCGCATAGCTGTAACGTATAGTTATTTACCACCTTGTTTATCTACACTTGCAGCGCGTATTTTTCAATCTGATCAGCGCGTTGAATAGTGGCAGTACATGATCTCGGCGATCAGCTGATTGTCGACACCTCTGCCGTTTGCATCAGATTGCGGCGCTTTTAAGTAATAAAACAGCGAAAATTCAATTTCTTTCGTTTTCTGAGTTTCGAGACAATCTTCAGTGAATGTTGCTTGTCTCGCGAGTAGAATCTTGGCTTCAGAAAACTGTATCGTTCCATAACTGTAACTTTTTTGGTGATCGCATTTTTTTTTTTTCATATACTTTGCTTTATATCTTTCATTCGTATCCCGAGAACGAGATATTGTTGTTTCCGAGTTGTGCTCTGTGATGGTGTTTTCCCTTTACTTTTGTCGTTTGTTGTCATTGTGACGATGGTTGAGACTATATACCGGAACACGTTTTCAATAAAATTCAGTTGAAAGTTGCGCCTTGTTGTGTCCTCCGTAACTTTTTGGTGATCGCGATTTTTTAGGAATATTTTGCTTTATATCTTTCATTCGTGGCGACGACAAATCGTAACGACTACTATGTTAGATTCTTTCATTGCTGTATCGGGGCAGGCTGGGGCAGGTGATGCGAAGAGACGACCGTTCTTATCGGCACAATGTGATGTACTAGTGGGAGTTTTTTTTTTTTTTTTTTCTTTTCTTTTTTTCTGAACTCGACAGTGTGAAACTGAAGTCCGTTTGAGGCTGCAGCGGATGTTCAACGACGGTACAGTGCAGTTCTGTCGCCTTGCGGATAGCAACGAGTACCGTCTATGCAAGGTCTCGTGACCTGACCTCTCGACGACTTCTATTCGACGATTTCCGGGCATTTTCGCAGCTGCCGTGGCGAGTTCGTCACTGTTTTGAACTTCGTCGGTCTCAGGCTTGACTTGGTTTTAGTAGTCATCTTACCTGCCTACTTATATCCATGATGTTTTGTCTTCAGCGATGTAGCGAGTAGAGTGTCCTTCCCGCGTTCGGTGAGATTTGGGGCCCCCGATGGCTCCTTCACCTCAAAATGTGAGCACGAAAACTACTACCACTGTCAAAATATCCTGTTATCAACCGATATTAAACACAATCACAGATGTAAAGAGCATTCGTGTTTATTTGAAGCTTTGACTTCTGTTATTGAAAGTTAAACGAAAAAATGATTGAATTTGGAGTCCTTTAATTTGTTACTCACCGAAGAAATACAGCGAAAAGCAGACGCCGACAACGACTACTACGGCAGTTTTTTTTTTTTTTTTTTTTTTTACATCACGTGATTCCTCTCCGCCAATCGTATTCGTCGCTCTGAGCGTTCCCTAGTTTGCTCTGTTTGTCCCTAGATTCCCTACGCAAATCCAGCGCTTAGCTAGGGGCGCGTCTGTAAAGCCGGCTTAACGTTGGTGCAACCGGAATTTAAACCCGTGCTTACCTAAGCTCGGTTTAGGGCGCTAAGCCGGCCTAGGAAAGCGCCGCTTTGGGTTAAGATAAGCGACGTTGGTGCAACCGGCCCTAAGAGAAGTTAAGTTTTAAAATCCCACTGATACGATTCTTATAAACCAATGAATGCAACACTTTTGTGAATTATAACCATGCTACTTTCTATGTATTCAATACGATGCAGTTTCACCTTGTGTGCCAGCGGGCTTGGCTTCGGGCAATGTCGCAGTCGTTCTACATGGTGGGAATGCTCATGGGAAACCTTATATTTTCGCATTTGTCTGACAGGTAAAAGCCATTTCCGAAACTATATTTCAATTTTAATGAGTAAGTAATTTGGTTGATACAAGGACACTAATCTGATATGCTGGTGCCACCAGTTTAGAACTTAATTAGAAAATGCTTAAATAACGTCTAGCCGAATCTGCTGGGAATCAACAACTCCCGTGTTATTTAAAAACAATACTCCCCATAGATTCCACGAGAGACTAACGTATACGCTGTAGACGCAACAAATTTGATGGTGCCAAAACAAAAACTTACTGCTAATCGTGTCGTTTTTGGTGGGATCCATAGAAGTTTAGTTGTAAACAAAATCGTGCCGGGAACCAAAAGTTGTAACCCCCATGATTCTACTCAATTGAGCAATACTTCCGCAAAGTTCACAGCTTCATGAGTTGACACAAGTTACATACAAATATCAACCCCCTGACACCGGCCCTAACACTGCCCACCTAAAGTCAGTGGGCACTGATCATTGCCGAGTGCTCTGAAATGCCAGATTTGAAAAAGGCAGTGTCAGTTACATTATCTGTTGTAACACAACTGGTACAACGTAATGTCGAGCTATGCCAGACTTTCCCTCAACTCATCAATGCATTTTGATACGTCTGTATCAAAATGCATTTGCGAATCTATGGTATCTACTCTTGAGCTCGGTTGGCCCGCGAAGATGAATCATGTGGGTGATAATGCCTTGACATTTTTGTTTCGTTCAATTTACCATTTTTACACTTGTTTTGTTTCTGCAGGTACGGACGTAGAATATCTGTGATATTATCAAGCTTCTTCGTGCTCGTTTTCGGCTTCCTTGGTGCCTTCAGCCCGTCCTTGACAGTATATAACGTCACGCGCGTTTTTGCATCTATTGGCACCGGTGGTCTACAAAGCACGTCCATAACTCTGTGTACGTGATTCGTTCAATATCTGGCAACCTGTCGGCGGTTTTAGGCTATTGGTAAAAAGAAACGAAGAGCGTTCAAGTTTACGATAAGGAAAGAGGAACATTTAAGACAAACAGACAAGACAGGCTGTCTTCCTGTCTTGTCTGTTTGTCTTAAACGTTCCTCTTTCCTTATCGTAAATTAATAACCAACACGCTCAACCATCTACAGCGTTCAAGGTTATGATTTTTTTTTGCGATAAATGTAAATACACACATGAGAACGAAGGTTTTTTTTTATCTTAGACGTTAGAACCCTCAAGCAGGGTTAATGTATTGTGATGCTACTTTAAGTTCACGGTTTAAATAGAACTTGTTGGTGCATGGCTCAAGTTAGAAGACATAGCTGACACCTGACAAAGCTGCCTCCAAGCGAGGTGTCAACTAGCAGTTTCGGAATTCTAAAAAAATTATCTGAAATGTAAGAAAAATAACTGCTGCTGCGTAAATCCACAGACACTCACGATACATATTTTTTTATCCCAACGTCGCCATGCACAATATAATAAATTAAAATATACTAAAAATGTAAAAACTGGTCTTTTTTGTGTTACAGGCCCTTTAAATATTTTATATGAAATAGACCAGTTAAGTTTCTTGCTTCGAACCATATAGAGGAAGTATCTGTTCAAAGAATACAACTTAGCGCGGTATTGTGGACGTCTGTAGGCTTATCTTCTCCCTTCGAACCAAAATTGCCCTTCTGGTACTTAATAGCCATGCAGCTCCAAGGATGTTATTTGAGTATTTAAGATATTTAATAAAATGTTCATACTTATTTATCTACAAAACACTGTTTTGCTAGCGTTGTTTCAGCAAACTAAATAAGCACACATTTGAGGTCAAGAATATTATTGCGCATGGCTATTTAGCGAGCACTTAAAACTCACCGCTTTTTGTCAGTCAAACTTATTTCCGGCCGAGTGTTGCTCAGTTCGGAGGAAGGCTTTCAATAACAATACCGTGTTTCCTTTTTTTTTTTTTTTTTTTGTGTGTGTGTAAGATTTGTACACGCATATCTACAATTGAAGCGTTGCGACTTAAGTTATGACATTTTTAAGTATTTAATACGTGTTAGACGGTGCTTGTCAATATTAAAAAGAAAATAATGAAAATAATTATTCGTATTAAAATTGCCATCCTAAGAATTTTATGGATTTTGGAACAGATCTTATGACCATGCGCTTTGGTACTCATAAAGTTCCTGGCGTTTTTTTTCAGTTATGGAGACCGTGCCTTCCCGCCACCGAATTCTGTTCTCTCTGACGTATGGTTGTGGATGGATAATTGGACAAGAGTGTATGGTGGGGGTGGCGTACTGGTTCCGAAACTGGAGACACATGCAGATTGCCTCGTCCATGTTTGCGTTGCCCTTGATTCTGCTTTTATTGTAAGAATTACGGAACTATAATTGTGTGTCATTAAGAGTTAATAATAATACCCCTTTAAACAAAACAAAAACAAACAAAAACGAGAGAAGGCGTTTAGGCATTGAACTTTCTGTACTAACGATAAACAATGCTAGTTTATTCCAAGTTCGTGCCCGAGAAGTTTGTCAGCATAGCGGGGCATTTTTACTAACGGGGTTCAGATTACAAAACTTGATTATATTTCTCAACAGTGCATATAATTTAAATTTACAATAATCTACAAACTTCGAAGAGACTGCTTACATACCTTGAGGAAATATCCAGTTTGTTGTTCCTAGTCATTATCATACATTTAAACTAATGCATAACGTATGCAATGCTCTATGAAAAGTAAAGCATATTGTGAAACACGCGCCCGGTTCGTTTAGCTTCATTAACATCTCGATTTTTTCGCTCCTGTTTTTTTTTTGTTTTTTTTTTATCTTGTATTTCTGAATATCTGCTTGCTCATGCCTTCTGCTGTACTAGTCGCGTAAGATAGACATGAACAGTGGGGATAAGCATTATCACCCATACGATGTGCTCTCAACGAATATTTTTTTAATGGGTTTAGAATAAAATATGAAAACAATTAGTTGACTTTGAAACTATTTATATGTGCAGAACATGCCATACACACTTCTAGAACGGTCTTCCAGGGCTAAATTTGGCAGTTAAGAGTGCGGCGCTTTGCTAGAATATTGAAACAAATGCTAATTAGTTCTCAAATACCACATCAAGAGGGTATCAGTGCCACCGCGAGTTGAAATTACTGAGTTTATTATTCGCATGCCCATACTATTTCGAATTGCTTTTTCAAGATTTAGAACGGGTTACGGGCTGATAATGGTTAGAATAATTTTGCTTAACTATATAAAGTTAGTGTTAGTATATGAAGTTAACTGTATAAAGTTAGGTCGAACCTCCCGTGGTTACGGTTGCAGTTTCTTATTCTTAAAGTTAATAATTCATTGGAAGAAAGATTGGTGATCTATAAATTTACAAAGTTACTGCCCCTTTCCATATCAGTAGGGCGTCGGATTTTCGTTATTGTACGCAGTATTCAAGACAAAAGGAACTAACTTCGACAAATGTTAAACGCTTTGAACACTAAAAAGAATTTTTTTATTATTTTAAATACAGCCAACCCCTGTAGGACATTGCAGCAGGAGATACAATAACAATTACAAAGAAGATATACCGATATAATACCAATTACAAAGAAGGTATACCGATATAATACCAATTACAAAGAAGTTAGGCCTTGAATAAATTTAATGACTCTGCTACTCTAAACAAAAAAAAAAGAAAAGGAAGCACAGCTACTTGTCAGAAAACCAAAAACACAATTTTTGTTCAAACTCTTAGACAGAAGAGACATCAATGAAAACACTCGGGGTTAATTTATTACAGTCGTCGATGGTCTTCAGAAGAAAATAATGTCTATAAATATCAATATTGAATAGATACTGGTCAACTGATAATTCGTTGCCTGAACATCTAGACCGCCTTATATAAATTTGCGTGTCAACATTGAGGTGATTAAAATACGGCAGATAAAAACCTTTCATTCGCTCAATTTTACGCCTTGACGCTAACGAGGACAACTGGACTGTTCTCATCAATGCTGAAAGGGACTCGTGCGTAGTGTATCGAGGAAAAATAAACCTGGCAGCAAGCCTTTGTATTCGCTCTACTTTAGTAATTTGTGATTGTGTAGGCGGGTCCCCTATCATTTATGCGTATTCCAGCTTTAGCCGCAATAAAGCTTCATAAACATGAGTTATGACACTAAAATTCGTTCCTCATGGAGTTATTCTCATGAAGCCGAGTTGCCTATGTGCAGAATTACATACATTTTTAATATGCGCGTTCCAGCTGGGTTCATCTGATATTGTGACACTAAGATACTAAAAATGTAAGAACGTTACAAGGCTATTTTATTTATTTCTACGAAAACATCAAAGGACATTTCTTTTTTGGTGCAATTAAGACAGCCTTGTAAAATTGATTCACATATCCCACCATTCACGCCAGTTGGAGATACTCGATAAGGACTGATTGAACAGGGCCTAAAACAAAACAAACAAAAAAAACAAAAAAAAAAGAATTACCTTCATCTATCGCCCTCAAACGACATACGTCTCATTGGCCCAACAGACGACAGATGGCGTTGCGGTCTGACAAAACTTTGTTCTCAAAAGCTTCGAATTCGGCCCCTTATTCAAGCCGAACTTGCTTTTGCGGTGTCTTTTTTGTACTTAATTTTTTTTTTAATTACATTGCATGAATTTAAATGAAAGAAAACAAAAACAGCGCGACAGCCGACATCTGACGGCTGTCGCGCTAATACGCATGTGGGTCGTTTATGACGTCAAATGTTAAAACAAAAAATGACGTTAAATTTTTGGTTTTGGATTGTTCTTCAATTTGATTAAAAAATACACCACCTGGGCGTCTGTGCAACATAGCGCGATACGAAAATCTACCGCTATATGCGGTTGTTTTCTTTATAAAGCCATGGCATCATCAGGTCTATTCGGTATAACATCAAACGTATTTAACTGATACCGAAACGAGCCAGGGGGGGAGGGGGGGGGGGGGGGGGTTTAATAATACATTTCACAATTATTGCTTGTAAGATCAACCCTTTTTTACCACTTAAAAATAACGTGAAGAACTAGAAATGGCTTATACATTAATAGTATCATAACGTAGGATTTAAAAAAAAAGGCTTCTTTAGAAACAATTTAGATTCAGACGCCAGAACGGATGAACTTGAATTCAAGTTTCCTTTGTAATTCCAGCTTCATTCCTGAGTCGCCTAGGTGGCTCCTCACAAGCGGCAAAGAAGACGAGGCAAGAAAAGCAATTCAGAGAGCTGCTCGAATGAATAATGCGAAGCCTCCAAATTTCCAAGCTATTTTGGAATCCGAAAGCAAAACCAGGGTAAACATTTATCTTTGTTGATCTTCGGTCCACACACTAAAAGACAAAAAAAAAAAAAAAAAAAACCTAAGCTGGCTTAATTGCCAGCGGACACTCTCAACCCACCCTAAGTGCAAAGAAGTACCTGGTAATTGTGAGAAAAGGGAACCCTGTTTTTTGTCACCGCAAACACAAACTACGCGTTGCCGAGTTTCCGTCCAAATGTAGCCCTAGTGGAGGTCCGGGCCATATGTCCGAGTGTTCGAAATTCCCGTAATCTTATTGAAAAGTGATAAGCGATTTTCGGAAATTTTCTGCGAGGGAATGGCGATCAGCGGATTCTGTGAATACAGTAATGAAGAGGAATGCCGAACGCTACGGGGAATTCGTGCACCATTTTCTCGTGCGAAATTTCCCTGAAATCAATTATAACTTCTAAATCCATGGGACCTCTCATTTTTGGGCTAACACTTTCGGATAGGTTTCATCAGAAAGTTTTTTTTATTTTTCTTTGCAAATTCGTTTTGATTAAAAAATTTATAGTGGTTTCCACTCTGTTGATTTATTTTCAATTGGATTTAGTCTCCGATACTAACGCAGGAGCAGAAACTTTCTTTTTTCGTTCCTTTACCTGC